ACCATCCCCCAGCACAGCCAAGTGCAGACCATCTCAAACACCTGCACTCAGGCCCATGGTCCTAATCATCCTCTATACGGACCTGCTGGGTAACGCCACAAAGAACCTGAGAATGGGCTCCCACAGGACCTACAGAACATCCCACAGCAGAAGTCAATCAGTTCAGATGCACTATATTGAAAAGTAGCAGGCAACTCCTCTCCACTTTCCCATCAACCCCTCCATACTCCAGACAACCTCTCATGGCAGTTCCTAGGTTTCGTTCTAATGGCTGCCATTAAAATCCAATCATATGCTCAGGCTTCACTTCCTTATCTGTGAATATTGTATTCTTCACTAGTTTGCCTTCAATAAGGAAAATAGTTTATTCTAATCAATACTCTGGGGAAAATTGCTATGACTACTGAAAACTAATTCTCTTGGCTTTTGAACAAACAATGCATTTTTTTTTCTTAAATTTTATTTATTTATGTCTGCATGTATGCCTGAATGCCAGAAGAGGGCATCAGAGCCCATTACAGATGGTTGTGAGCCACTGTGTGGTTGCTGAGAATTGAACTCAGGACCTTTGAAAGAGTAGCCTGTGCTCTTAACTGCTGAGATATCTCTCCAGCCCATTTAATTTCATATCATAAACATGCATTGTTTATGATATGAAATTAAATGGGCTGGGCGGTGGTGGCGCACACTTGCACACTTTTAATCCCAGCACTTGGGAGGCAGAGGCAGGTGGATCTCAGTGAGTTCAAGTGAGTTCTAGGACAGCCAGGACTACACAGAGAAACCCTGTCTCGAAAAACCAAAAAAGAAAAAAGAAAAAAAGAAAAAAAAAGAAAAAGAAAGAAATTGCATGGAAGAACTAATAGTGAAGATCTAGTCTTGTGTTTTTCTCCTCTCCCTCTCTCCCTCCCTTCCTCGCACCCCTGCCCTCTGCTCTTTCTACCAAAATGGTTAGGCAGGAAAGCCAGCTACTGGGGCTGAGGGCCCAAGCAGCCTTGAGTAGAAGGGTGTAGTCAGGGCAGCCACTGTGCATGTCACCGGCGCTGACGCCTGCCAGTGTGGGACACAGAGACTGTGAGGAAGGTACGTACCTCTGAGGGAGAATGGCAGAGCAGAATCTGGGCTCAAAATGTCAAAATGTATCGATAGGGTCATCCACTGAGAGGGGTGTGTGTGTGTGGGTGTGTGTGACTGGCCAGAGGTCAATCACATACAGAGGTATTAAGTAATTAAATGATGAGAACTAGGTTTCACTCTTGAAGAAGGGAGTTACAAACACAGAAATGGAAAAAAAATTACAATTAACCCTATGATAACTTTCAATAAATTTGGATACAAATAAATACAGATGCAATCAATTCTGTCTACCCAAGGGTTCTGCTTCTCAACCAACTGATGACTGAAAATATGTGACAGGAGAAATTACACCTGCACTGAGCATGCACATATTTCTTTTTCTTGTTAGGATTCACAAACAATACACTATAACATCTATTTGCATGGTGTTACATTGTAGTAGATTATAAATAACCTAGAGATGATTTAAGGTATATGGAGGATGTGCATATGTTATAGACAAATAGTATGCCATTTATTTAAGTCACTTGAATATCCTGGAGTTTGGAAATACAGATTTGTGGGAGTATGCAACTAATCACCCCCTGTTACAGAGGTATGACTGACATATATAAATGTGCATGTGTACAAATTTATTTATATATTCTCTACCTCTGCCTGCTTGCCTACTGGGAGGGCCTAGGAACAGCAACACACAACAGCAGTGAACACTCAATATCTAGGTCTTGATTTAAAGGAAAAACTCTTGCTCTAGGGCTGAAGAGCCAGTCTAGTAATTAAGAGCTCTTCTTGCTCTCAATGAGGACATGGTTTGGGTTCCCAGAACCTACATGGTGGCTCATACCATTTGTAACTCCACTTCCAGGGGAATCTGACACTCTCTTCTGGCCTCTGTGAGCACCAGGCACACATGTGGTATACAGACATACATGCAGGCAAAACACCTATACACATACACAAAACAAACAAAACAAAAAGAACCAAAACATCACCTCCCAACACACACACATAAAGCGTTACTCTAAAAGGAGCCAGACTTATTGGAAATGGCTGGTTCCAGATTAGAGTAAATAATGATAAAACAACGACAGAAAGTTAAGAGGATGTCCCAACACAATGGTGACACATCAAAAGAAAGAGAGGTCAGTTTATAGGGACCCATAGTGGCCCCATTCTGGAGAAATTTAAATATAAAATAGCAACAGTGATAAATTATAAGTCATCAAATAAGGCAGAAATCTATGAGTTTTTACTGCTACCTATGAGTAAGTAAAATGATTAGGTTACTTGATGAGAAATGGAATTTTACTATAATTTCAAAGCAATTCCTTCGAAACAGTTACAATTTGTAATAGAAAACTCGAACTTTACTGGAAATACATGCAAACACCACCTTAATCAAGTGTTTGAAATTAACAGTAGCAGGCAAACTATAGTCATGTATAATCATCACTTTTGTGTTCCTATCAAAGTGAAGAACCTGAGTTGAACCACGGCAGAGCATCAAGTCAATGTGGAGTGGGTTTCCTTAAAGTAAATTGGCTAGTGAGTTTTACTGTGTTAAGGCAGTGAATGTCAAGAGTAAGGACCCATCCTGGGGGACGACTCATCCCTAACAGGGTTGAGGGCCAGCCGGCCCAAACCAGTAAAAAGATACTTTCTGAGAGCCAACCTGGGTCTGTCTAAGGGCCTTAGCAACAGCAGCTGAGACATGATTTGAAGACAACCCAGACCAATTCACACCATGTCACACCAGCAGATGCATATTCATCAGACCTTCCCTTGGGGTGGGGTAGAAGGTATATAAGGCTTGCCTTTTCCTGAATAAACTGAGCTTGTTGTTTCAACATTCTCCCAGAGTCTGTGTCATTGACTCTGTGTCTATTTGGCCCCTTCCCCCAAAGGGAACAACAGCACAGGACCCTGCTACACCATCACATGACAACTAAATGCAACACACAGTTCTGGCCTTGATAGACAGACTGGGCAACATGATTCTGGACTGAATGCCTCTGCTTTCTTGTTCTAATAATTTAACGGGGACAATTGGTAAGACTTGGAATGGAGCTGAGGGGTAGAACAAATTATTTGTCAATGTTAACTTCATGGTGCTGAGGGCAGTGTGTTGTGGGTTTGGAGAATGTCCTTGTTAGTGGGGAACACACGATGAAACATTTGGGGATGGTGGATTATCATTAGCAGTTAAGTAGATGTTTCACTCTGAGATGGTATTTCAGAAACTATAAAAACATGCTGAGTATATTTCAGATATATAATCTTTTGTGTGTACACATATGGGAATGATGTATGTGCATGCATGCAATGTCTGTGTGTGAATTTGTGTGCGGTGTGTGGAAGAGCACAACCTTGGGTATTGGTTTTCACCTTCCACTTTGATGAGGTCTCATGATTATCCCAGGATTCCCATCTCTGCCCCTGCTATTCTGTAGGATTACAGGCATGTGGGACTGGACCAGCTCTGCCTGTGTCTTGGGATATCACCTCAGGTCCTCACACTTTCCCAGGTACATTTAGCACTGAGCCATCTCCCAAACCCTGCAAAGTTGTTTCTTCAGTCAGCCATCCTCCCTCACCCTTCCTCAGCCCCTCTATTTTCTTCCCCAGAGGCAGCCCTGGGATTTTATTCTAGATCCTTCAAGAGACATTTCAAGCATTTAGTGAACAGAAGCATTTCTGAAAACAAACTACAATTATTGGAGTTCTATTTGTTCTTTTATTTTTTTCAGAGACTACATATTTCATTTTTCTTCTACTTCCACAAATTTCTTTCTAATATTGTAAAATTCTGTGTGTGTGTTTTTTAAATTCTATGCCCTTTTACTTCCCTCAATCCTGATGTGGTACTTAGAAGTACTTGGTGTCCTGCAGAGTTTTCAGTGTCACCATAATTGCCAATACCTTTATATTCCCCCATAATTTCTTACTTGCTCTCCAATAGATCCCATTTCATCTTCCTGCATTATCACACCACCACTTTGCCAGACTTTAAAATGTCTACCTCAACCTACTGTCTTAAGTGTTTGGAACCTCAAATGTCACAATTTTTAACTGTTCCCTGGCACTGTCCATTTTCCCAGTAAATACTCTGAAGGCTGTTTTGTTCATGTGCCTTTCCTTTTCCTTATGATGTTCTTTGAAAATCTGCACCTCACCCTTTTGTAATTATGAAGGATTTCTGACTGAACACCGACTGTAAGCTCTCTCTGCCAGTGCACGCACCACTCTATTGATCTGAAGGGAGAATGTGCTGCTCTGGGACCTGAAGATGGATTTGTAGATTTTTAATTTTTATTTATTATTTCATGTGCATTGGCATTTTGCCTACATGTGTGTGTCTACATGAGAGTGTCAGAAGCTCTGGAAATGGAGTTATAGACAGTTGTCAGCGGCAATATGGGTGCTAGGAATTGAACCTGGGTCCTCTAGAAGAACTGTCAGTGCTCTTAAGGACTGAGACATCTCTCCAGATCCCTGGATTTGCAGATGTTTAACAAGGAGGAATGCGGCAGTGCTAGCAGACAGGAGAACTTCTCTCTAGTTCATCAACAAGTTTGATACACTCATGTAGACATGGGGAGGTCAGCCAACTGGGAATTAATTACATGGACTAACTGAAGACCTTTCCTCCTTATTGCCTCAACCCAGCTTTTGGCAACACTGAAAGATAAATGAGGAAATCCACAGCCAACCAGAATTTCCTTTCCACCTAGCCTTACAGTGTTTACATAACATGACTGCAGACTTGTGCCCTATTTCTCCTACTGCCAGAACAGCTGAAATTCCTACTGTTCTTGGTACCTGCTCTCCACTGGCTTCATCTATTATTTGAGACACAGACCCTTTCTAGGCATCCTATTCTTGTACCATTAATTTTATGACACTTGGCAGCTCTTCCCTATACGCTGGGTAATTTGTGAAATCATTTTATAACTCTCCTGAGTTATTTCCAAGAAGAGAAAAGGGTAGGGCTGTGTTTACTGGATTAAACCTGAAGTTTGACTTCATTGTTTTTATTTTTCAAGACAGGGCTCCTCTGTGTAGTCCTGGAACTCACTATGTAGATCAGGCTAGCCTTGAACTCAGAGATTTGCCTGCTCCTCTGCCACACCCCCACACCCCCCAATGCTGGGATTAAAGGTGTAGTTTACCACTCCCAGCTTTAACTGAAGTCTTAAGGTGACTTTTTCCTTCTGTTGATTATGTTTGTATTTTCAAAGAATGTGTTTATAAAGATGGCCTCTGGCTTGTGGTGGCTCTGTTGACTATCTTTTGATTTTATGATGACAGATATTCAGTAGCAACCATGCTTTGAATTTTGATGGTTTTTTTGGGGGGCGGTGGCTTAATGATTTATTATAAGATACTGTCTCCTAGTGCTGGGCAGTATGTAGCATGGAGCCTCATGATCTAAAAGGTAAATGGCTGCTACCCCAGCAGGTACTGCATTGCTAAGATACAATGTTCAGTGGTATGGTTGTGGCAAGTGTATTTTCAACATACAGGATTTTGAACAAGACTTATCTGGATATGTCTCCATTGTAAGTGCAGAAACACCAAGACTTACATTTTTTAGGCCAGCAATTATGATTTATTGCTTTATTATTATTATTATGCTTTATTAACCTTACTTTTTCTATTATATTCTAGTCAACTGAATACTCACATTATTCTGTTGTAAATACGTACATTCTACTCATGGTAAGCCTTCCATATTTTGTTGATAGGTTATAGTATTTACCACTGTGTGGTGGCAGCAGAAGCCTTTAATCCCAGCACTCTGGAGGCAGGTGCAAGTGGATCTCTGTGAGTTCAAGGCCAGCCTGGTCTACAGAGCAAGTTCCAGGATAGCCAAGGCTACACAGAGAAACCCTGTCTCCAATAACAAAAACAAAAACAAAACAAAACAAAAAAGTATTTATGTTATGTTACACAGACTATGGATGAACGAGTTAATATAGAGATTGCCTCAATCTTAGACTGTTTTGAGTAGCCATAACATGCACATAGTGTGTATGTATGTATGTATGTATGTGTATATGGTATGTGCTTGTTTTGCATGTCTATGGATGCACGTGTGTGCATACCTGTGGAGGCCTGAAACTGACATTGATCTCTTCCTCGATTGCTCTTCATGTTTATATTGAAGGAAGGTCTCTCACCGAATCCAGAGCTCACCAACTATGGCCTAGTGTGGCCGTCAGCCTGGCCTGCAGTTGCAGCCTCTGCCTTTGGAGTGATGGGGTTACAGGTCCCCGCCTTGCTTATCTTGCTTTTATGTGGGTTCTGGGAGTCTGAACCCTGGTCCTCATGCTTGCTTGGCAAATACTTTCTCTGCTGAGCCACTCCACAGCCCAGCAGAAACGTCTTAAAAACAGCAGATCTGGGATGGTCTAACGGTGATGAATGCACTCAGCTAGCCACAGGGACAGCTTTCGTTTTCATTCTTAAGAATCCATTTTTCTTTCTTTTTTTTTTAAGCTGTGTGTATGTGAATGTGTCTGTGTGAGCACATGCCACACATGTAAGGATACCAATGTGTGGATATCCATCCACCTAGTCCAGAAGAGGGTGTAGGATTATAACGGTTCCCCTCAAAAAAGGCTGACTCAAGGATGGCTGGCTCCCAACACTTGGAAGACTGCGGCAAGAGGATCAGTCTGAGGGCAGCCTGGGCGACAGAGTGAGACCCTGCCTCAAGAAACCACAAACAAACAAACTAGAAACAACAGCAAGCAGAAGCTGAATACTGATTTACAGTTAGCTTCACGGCACCACGTCAAATTTAAAAAGTGTCACTTTGCATATCATTTTTAGAAACAGGAAGAAGGTGCTTTATAAATTAGAATAAAAGATACATTGGTGAGAATACAGAAACTTACTTTAATGAAGCAAAACCGCACCAGCTTCTCAAACTGTGGTTTAGACTCCGAGTCACAGAACGCTGAAACAGGGATGGCTGACAGTTTCTGAAAAACAAGGACGAGGATGCGATAGGAAGGCTGCACACTTTCCAAATGTTAGTGCGGAGACCACAGACAGTAGAAATAGGTACTGTTGATACTCATAATTTTTTTTTTTTTTTTTTTTTTTGGTTTTTCGAGACAGGGTTTCTCTGTGTAGCTTTGCGCCTTTCCTGGGACTCACTTGGTAGCCCAGGCTGGCCTCGAACTCACAGAGATCCACCTGGCTCTGCCTCCCGAGTGCTGGGATTAAAGGCGTGCGCCACCACCGCCCGGCTGATACTCATAATTTTTAAGAAGCAAAATATTTTTAAAATCCTTCCAGAGTGTTGGGGATTTAGCTCAGTGGTAGAGTGCTTGCTTAGCAAGCACAAAGCCCTGGGAAGAAAAAAAGAGGCCAACAGGAGTGGGAGTGGAAAGGAGTGAATATAAACAAACACATTCTAGGGGCTGGAAAGATGGCTCAGCTGTTAAGAGCACTGTCTGCTCTTCCAGAGGTTCTGAGTTCAGTTCCCAGCAACCACATGGTGGCTCACAACCATTCATAATTCGATCCGGCGCCCTCTTCTGGCCTGTAAGCACTATGCAGACAGAATACTGTATACATAATAAATAAATAAATATTTAAAAAAAGAGATCCCTCCAGAAGTCCTAAGTGAACTGAAGCGTGATCCTAATTAGTCTTATCAATAAAAACCAGGAGTCAAATATCAGGCTAATAACCTGAAAGATCAGAGAAGCAAAGGAACAGCCATTAGTGACTTCTTACCTCTCTGGATCCTCAGACCAAATTGGGGGGGGGGGGGCACACTGAGATCCCGTCTCCACTCCATATTCCTGTCTCCACCTCCCTAGTGCTGGGATCAAAGGCATGTACCTGATTGCCTGGCTGTTTCTCTTTTAGACTGGTTCAATCTTGTGTAGCCCAGGGTGGCCTTGAACTCCTAATCTTTCTGCTTCCTCCTCCCAAGTGCTGGGATTAAAGGTGTGTGCCACCACTGCCTGGCCTCTATGGTTAACTACAAGTGCTGGGATTAAAGGTGTGTGCCACCACTGCCTGGCCTCTATGGTTAACTAGTGGCCAGCTCTGCCCTCTGATCTCCAGGCAAGCTTTATTTGTCAGAACACAAACAAAATACCATACAACAGTGGACTGTTTGGATGAAAGCTAGAATCACTGGGGAAGCAGAGGCAGGCAGATCTCTAAGAGTTTAAGGCTAGCTTGGTCTACACAGCAAGTTCTAGGCATGCCACGGCTACATAGTTGGACTCTGTCTCAAACAAGTAAGTTAAACTAAAATTTTAAAATAAAGGGGAAGAAACAAAGCTAGAATTAAATGTCATACAAAGAACATCCATAAGTTACTTGATAAGCTAACTATAAAACATCACTGCAAAGGTCAGTAATCATTACCTTCTTTTTCGTCATCCACTTCACAAACTTATAGTCATAAGGCTCATCGCTCTTCATGTCAGAGAGGTCAGCACCTACAGCCACAGGGAAAGGTGGGTGGAGGAAGGATTGTATCTGACACAACAAGGACTCCACTTAAGACTGTCGAGATCCAAATTTTCTCCTGACTCACACCGGTTTAACCTAGAACCTTCTAGAGGTTATTGATACACTGTGCTGGAGTCTTACACTACACGAGGAGACTGACTGACACACTGAGGCGGCACTCACACACAGGAGATCATGCCTGTCCCTGCAGCTGCCAGCACAGGAAGAGAAGGTGTGGGAAGCCATGGGGAGTGCTGCTTCTCCATCAGAAAGAAGATGCCATGATGCTAGTCTTTGTCATCTATCAGTGAGGATGTGACAGCACCAATATCGTACAGCTCTCTTGGGAATGTAATTATTAGCAGAGTTCTGAATACAAGACCTGCCATACCATATATTTTCAGTAACTATTAAACAGTCAGCCATTGTTCTTCATTGTAAGGTGTAATGGTAAGTACGGTTTTTCTTTTTTCTTTCTCTTTATAATTTTTGAGATAGCATTTTGCATTGTAGTCCAGACTGGACTAGAAGTATGTACCCCCAGGTTGGCCTTGAACACACAGCAATTTTCCTGTCTTACCTTCTTGAGTGCTGGGATTGTTGATGTGTACCACCATGCCTGGTTACTTTTATATTCCTTTTAAATTATTTATTTTGATTTTTAATTGTGTATATGCTTATGGGAGTGTACATGGGTTTGTTCATGTGTGTGTGGTACCCAAGAAGGCAAGAAGAGGGCGTGTGATCCCTGGAGCTGGAGTTAGGCTGTTGTGAGCTGCCTAACTTGGGTGCCAGGAACTGAACTCTGGTCCTCTGCAAGAGCAATATGTGCTCTTATCCACTGGGCCGTCTCTCCTTCCCAAGCCCCCTGGCTACCTTTATTCCTATGCTACCATCAGATGAAATTTTAATTTTTATCTTTAGAAAAAGGGGCGAGCTAAATTCTAGTGTAGGAAACAATTCACACACAGTAAAGTAAAATTTTGTTCACATGAGGAGAGGTTGAGATGTTACTATCTCCCCCAGAGGTAGCATCATAAAGAAGGGTATCCTGTCATACAGAAAAGCTTTTCCATCCACATCCTTCTGACTCCTACCTAACCACACTGTATCCAGAACTGAGACACAAGCCAGTACTGGGCTCAGAATGGACTGACAACATGGAAAGGATGCTTAGTGCAAAACTGGGATAAATCCCTCCCCAGAGTCTACTGTCGGGGAAAACTGGATCCAGCAGAGAACCTTGAGTGTCATTTCCTGGGGGTCTTCCACCTATTTTCTCAATAAATAAATTTGGGTGGAAAATCTTGTATATTTGAAATTGAAAGAATATCTGGTGGGAAGAAATTGGATTGGGTCAGACGAGAGCCACAAGGGCATCTCAGTCTAAACAAGTTTCCTGGGGGAGGGAAGGGTCTTCGTGAAGATTAGAGTGTGTTCTGGGAAAGGCACACTGGAAAAACCATGAAGGCCTCCCCTGAAGCCCAAGGTAGGGCAGGCCTCCCCTCTACCCCAAGGTGGAGCCAGAGCTTTCGACCACTTCCTCGAAAGGGACCTCGAGACTCAGCTACAAGTGTAGCATCCAGTTCTCTGAAACCTGTGGTAATGAAAAAATTACTAATGTCTAATGCTTGTGTACTACAAAATGATTCTTTTTTTTTTTTTTTTTTTTTTTTTTTTTTCGAGACAGGGTTTCTCTGTGTAGCTTTGCGCCTTTCCTGGAGCTCACTTGGTAGCCCAGGCTGGCCTCGAACTCACAAAGATCCACCTGGCTCTGCCTCCCGAGTGCTGGGATTAAAGGCGTGAGCCACCACCGCCCGGCACAAAATGATTCTTACATGAATATAGAGCTAAGGGAGCCCCTCCTACCTCAGGAGTTTCCCCCACTTTCTCTTAATGAATCTATGTGCATGCTGCCATACTTACAAAAAACCTAACATACGATCATTTGTCACATAAAATTGAATTTTATTCCCTCTGGGTTTCTAAAATTTAGCATAAATGAGAAACTTCAGTTTTTCAAGTTCAGTGGCATATAATGTTACTACAGTCTAAAATACTGAAAACTATATTAGAGTGATCATAATTAACCAATAAAGGATACTCAAAGGTTTATTATTAATAATTTCTTAAGTATTAAAGAAATATAAGTTTTATGTAAAAACTGTCAGAACACGGCCAAAGGAATGATGCATGGTGAACAATGCCTTGGGGAACTCTGAGAGAGGCTCCAGGAAAAAGGCAGAAGGCCTTTACCTCAGGTGCATTTTGTTCCCTGGATTGTTCTTGGATGTGACATCATGCCTCCTGTGACAAACGTTTACATTCAATTTATAAGACATGTTTATTCTTGATGGATGTTGGAACACAGCTATAGAATCCAGTCCATGAAAGGGTATGCTGAGTGCTGTCCCCAGTGTACCCTGAATCTGGATATGGCCTTCCACCTTACTTTTGTGCTTTCCCAGATAGAATCTATAGTATGTGTCAGGCCATTGTGTTTGTATTGGTCTGTCCTGAGAAAGTTCTGGGAAAGGGCTGCTGTTAATACTTAGTTTGTGGTTACTGGTGTTATTTACATGGTTTTCTGATCATGTTTTTCTCAACTCAAACAACCTTCCTTGGATCATTGCTTTCTTTGCTACATTCATGTATAAAGTACACTGAAACTGAGGTAAGGTTGTCTACATTATTAGACTATAGTCCGACCATTCTTTAAGGTCCTCAGATCCCAGGTCTTTGTAGATGGATCTGCATAGGTTGCGAAGGTCAACAAGATTCATGTGAAAACATCATTATACTTCTAGCTCGAAAATTTGTTGATGGCAAGTCAGGATTATTATATCATCAACTTCAGATAAAGGCAAGTCTGATGACCTGAATTCAAGCTCCAGAACCCACATGGTGGAAGGAAAGAAATGATTCCCAAACGCTGTCCTCTGACCTCCACACATGAGCCTTGGCTTGTGCCCCACACCCTAATGTAAAGTGAATAAATAATCCTATGCTTTTTGGAAACAGAACTATAAATATTCCAGATGCACAATTCTGGGAAGTTACTTAGGGCTTTCCAAGCCTTCCTGCCTGCAAAGATGGCACTAGCAATGCTTTCTAGAAGAGGGTGCTGGAGTGGGTGGCCTACAGCAGACTCTCCATGATGGTTGGTCACTCCCCTTGTTTCCAGCATTCATTTCAGCATAAAATAGCAGTATTTCCTTACGGCTCCACAACTTCTGGAAATTTCAGTTTTCCTACCAAATATCATTTAGAATAGATAAACAAACAAAAGAAAACTTCCAAGTGAACTATTTCATGCATACTGTTTCACATTCAGAATTTCCAGTTACACACTGGAACACAGTAAGAGCGGTTAGTTCTGTAACAGAACACCCAGAACAACAGCAAACTGATAACCACGTATCAGGAGGGAAAATTCAGGTGAAAGTCCTGAAAGGAAAGCAAATGGTTGAAATTGTTGAAACAATCTCTTCTAGAGATAAGATGCCATTCTGGTTTTCCTACTTTCCCCTCACACTTCCCTGCTATCATTTCAAACCTAAGTGTCTGTAGATGGGAAATAGCAAAGGGGTCACACACCTAAGGAAGACACATCGGCGATGATGAAGTAACCCCCATCAGGAATGATGGGTTTCAGGCCAACGCTGGTAAGTAAACGCACCATCCGATCTCTTTTTACTTCTAATTCCTTGGGCAGAGAATTAAAGTAACACTCTGGGTCATCCATGCGCTTGATATCAATCCAAAAAGCCTGGGCCAAGGCTGCCTGCATGTTAAGATTAAAAAAAAAAAAAATGGAAAGGAAGCATGGTAATGTCAGTTATGGCTCATTTTACTAGTAGAATAAATAAAAGTCATCCCATTTGTGACAAGGAGGTCACTCAGGAAATTACAGCCAGATTCCTGTGAACTATCCCACTCCGTAAGTTAATGGAGGAAAGAGTTTTATCTAAATGTTTAAATCTAATATGACAAACAGGAAGACATGAAAACCCCAACTGAAAAAGAGGTGTTACACAAGAGAGTGTACTTGGTAACAAAAAGATATGTATCGTTCTCCACTGAGGTGAGCTGTGGTCCAGTTTGTTAATCTCAATCTAAAGAATGGCCAGACAGGTGAAGAGGGAGTCAAGTGTTCCCTGTTCCCTAGGATGGCACAGGAAGAAATTAAAGTCGGCCTGCTGTGTAGACAAGCAAACACAAGTTCCTCATTTTTCAGAGGAAATGCTAAAATCCTTCTGATTCCAGGAAAGTAGTGTGAGTTAAACAGGGACTAGAAACAAGCATTCAGAGTGTGTGGGCAACTCCTCCGGCAGTCGTGACCCAAGAGAAGAGAGAGTGGGACCAAGGAAAGCCAATACTGTAAAGAGCAGAGGACTTCGTGTTCGTGTCCCCCTCTCCATATGGTGAGTCTTTGGTCTCCAAGGCACAGGCTTTAGGAGGTGTGGCCTTTGGGGATGATTAGAACGGAAGATTAGAGGCCCCAGGAATGGCACGAGCACCACTTCTACCATGGGAGAACACACTGAAAAAGTGACACCTATGAGGTAGTAGGTCCTTATCAGATGTGGCATCTGCCAGTGATCTTCAGATCCATGAGAAATAACTTCTTTTTCTTTATAAGCTGCACAGTCTCTAGTACTGTGTTACAGCAACCTTCACAGACTAAGTCAGTAAGGTTCAGGTGACTGGGAAATATGTCAGGTCAGGAGGATAAAAAAATAAGTCACAGTCAAAGTAGGTATATAGCACAAAGATCTGCCAAGCAGAAGGCTAGAAGCATGGCAGGCAACGTGAGCCATTTGGGTAAGAGCTGGGACAAAACAGTTCACAACAGAGGCATAGCCCTGGCTGTCATAGAAACTCCATATTGAAGGGTGGGTGCAGGGGTGAAGTGGAAAGGGCAGGGGAAAAAATCTGTTCTGTATGATAGAATTGTAGCAAAAGACAGAGATAACGGGTGGGGGAGGGTGGCAAGAGCATAGAGAAGTCTGGGGCAGGAGAATTTAGCAGTAAGACAAAGTCAACAATTCTTCCACACTAGGAAATCAGCATCCAGTTTCCAAACACAGCTGTCTGGGGAATTTTCTCAAAATACAGAATAAGATGCTTCAGGAAATATTCTAGAATCTCAGCTGTACCTTTCCGAGCAATTTGTTCATTCACTCTAGAAATCATTGCCCTGGAAAATCCAGAGCACAGAGCCACAAACATCTGTGCTAAGTGTACCTGGATTCCTCTCTTTCTCCCAAGCCTGGTTGCTAAGTGTTGCCCTGTGGCAAACACCACTGGCTTAATCTTCCAGCTATCCAGGGTCCCATCATTCCACATCACCTCTGCCATCCTCACCTTGGTTCAGTCCACTGATATTTCTCTCATGGAACTCTTCCCTTCCCTTCTCCCTCAATGAAGCACCAGACTCCTTTTGAAAACATACGATCATGTTTCATGGCTCCTTGTGTCTCTCCGTCCTAACAGTGATGTACATGTCTCAGCCCGATGTGACTCCCAGCTACTGCTCGGATTTGAGGTTCTCCTACTCTTCAATCCTGGTCACCTCACACCAGCAGCCATGTTTATGGTATGATATGACAGCCCTGCTGTCTACCACTGGGTCTTAGTCCTTCCTATTCTCTCAGGCCACAGGGCTCTTTGCTAGGTTAACCAGCACTCAGGCACTGTCTTCTCCATGAGGCTTACCTCCCAATAGGACATCATATACTCTCCAACCTGGATCATTACATCTTCCTTCTTCCCCACCTTCTCTTTGTGTCTATCAAAATCTGACATAATATATTTTGAAAGCATCTCTGTGATTTATGTTCCTCTACCAGGTGTTAAGCCCTCGGAGTGAAGCTGTTTTTTGTCTGTAAAATCTCTAATCGTCAGTAAATCTTAGTTGAATAAGAATAAGTGAATGGCTTTATTTTAAGGTGATAAAATGAACTTAAAATATAATAAAGTGGAGCTTCAGAATGAGTCTTTATCATAAGGTTATTTTAGAGAATCACTAAAAGTAATGGAAATTTTTCCTATTGGGCAGACACCTTTGATGAGAAACAATCAATCAAGTTCAATGGAGCCAATACTTTTACTCTCTTGTGCTTTAACTACCTTCTAGAAGTAGAACACTTTTTAGTATTTGGGGTGTTCAGAGGAGAATGATAAATAGATCTGTTTCTAGAAACGTATATAAAAATAGCAACAGTCTAACAAAGACATACACCAAGGGCCAGGAGTGGTGGTACTTGCCTGCCATCCCACAGCTTGGAAGGTTAAGGAATGGCATTGTGCTCGAGAAGATTGAAGCCTCAAGTGCTAACATGATAGGCACGTGCCACCACACCCAGTGACCTTTTCTTTTAAATAGCTACTGCAGTATGAAGAATGAATATCAAAGTTGTCTGTCTGTCTGTCTCTTTTTTTGTTTTTGGTTTGTTTGAGACAGTGCAGTTTTGGTGCCTGTCCTGGATCTCGATCTGTAGACCAGGCTGGCCTCGAACTCACACTCACAGAGAACCACCACCTGGCTCTGTCTCCGGAGTACTGGGATTAAAGGCGTGCGCCACCACCGCCCAGCAAGTTGCCTGTCTCTTCAAGTACGTTATCGTATGTTAGGAGAGGGGCTCTGCAGATGGGACATAAGTCACGGACCTTGAAATTACACTTTATCCAATGACTGTGTGTCTGCTCCAAAATTCCCATCTGTGGCAGAAGGACTTGTTCACGAAGGAGCTAGCTAATTCCCACATGCGCAAAGGCTGACACATACCTGTAAAGGAGTTGCACAGGTGTACAAAGTATTTTGTTGAACGGTCTGTAAGTGTTTTATCAGGTGTTTAGGACCGATGCTCCAGCCAAGCTGGGAAAACATAAAAGCAGATTTCAAAAAATAATCTAAGGATATATATCCTATCTAAGAGAGTTGTTAGTGCAAACGCCACATGTAGCGATTCAGAAATGTCCCCAGGAGGAAAGCGGGGCAATGCTTGTTCTTGTCAAGTTCCCAGCTCTGTCTTCACCCCTCAACCTGCCTTCCGGAGGTAACAAAACCTGGGATCATTGTGAGCCCTTCCCCTCTGCTGATGTGCCACTTCTGGTCCTCAGGAGGAACAAAAGCTAGCACTTACGCTCGCTAAGTACAGGCACAAGTCATTCTGCATAACAGCTCAGAGGACTCCTCCACAATGAAAGCACACCGGTTTTTAATTCTCCTGGTCTCCTAGCATTCCCTGTGTCTTAGCCCTGTCTTCTATCGGTGAGGCTGAAAGAGAATTGAATTTCAGCTGGGGAAGTATCTGTTGTTGCTTTGAGACAGTATCTCTTGTAGCCCAGGCTAGCCTTGAACTCACAAGTTAGCTGAAGAGAATGTGGGGTTCCTGATTTTCTTGCCTCCACTCCCTATGGCTCAAGATTATAGATCCTGATAAATGCATTGTCATGATCAACAGTACATTTGTTGGCGAATGGACTCTGAAGGTAGGCTACCTGCCCTGGCTTGGGTTTATTAGCAGTGTAATCTCAGCAGACAGTAAACATTCCTGTGATTTAGTTTTATAATCTGTAAATCAAGGATGAGAACCTTGCCCACTTCATACTGGGCTTATAAGAATGAAAAGAATTAGCATGCTTAAAAACACTTAGCATTCGGGCCAGAGTTAAAGCCAGAGTATTAGCCAGTGTTATTTTTCTCTTTTCATATGGGAATATTCTTTGTGAAGAAAAAAGTATCATTAGCTGATCACTCATAAAATTTTAAAATTATTTGATTCTTCTTTCTTCTAAGGAAATTACTTGGTCTCAAAAAGGATGATATGGTTCAGAGGGTAAGAACTTGCTTGCTGCCAAGCCTGAGGACCGGAGTTCAATCTCTGGGATCCACATGTTGGAAGGAGAGTACTAACTCTTACACATTGTCCTCTGCCTTCCACACACACATACCCCACACAGCCCACAGCCCCCAAATAAATACATGTAATTAAAAATAAAAGGCTCAGGCTTGACATGAGAGCCAAACAAATAAATAAATACAAAAAAAAATCACTAAGTATAAAACCCCACATATATTATTTAGGCATTTAAAACGCAAAATAGTCTGCAGAAATTAAAGTATGAGCTTTTTTTTTTTTTCTTTTTTTTTAATTTCCAAGACAGGGTTTCTCTGTGTAACAGCCTCCTTTTTCTGGAGAGAAAGGGAGTTGAACCCAGGGCCTTTCATGTGCAAAGTCTGTGCTCTACCCTGAGCCACATCCCAGCCCAGCGGTGTTCCCTCTCTTACCTTCCAGCCCGTCACACTGAAAGTCTTGCCTGCACTTCCTATTGTTACTGTTCTCTCCCACATACCCGGAAAAGTGGCTTAAAAAAGAAAAGAAAAGAAAAATGTTTCCTTTTCAATTACTTTTCATTTAGTGTAATCTAAAAACACAGTGCAGACAACATGAACTCAGTGAAAACAGAGATATTAAATAGTACCAGTCTAGTTATTTCCACATTTTTTAGATAATCCAAGTATCATCTCGCCCAGTCTACTGCACAAGCATCACCACCTTTCATTTCAGAACATTTTTACCAACCAGAGGGGAGTCACTAAGCCATTCTTGGCTGATATCTTGCAATGCCATTCATTCACATTTGTCCATCAAATCTTTCTTAGTAACAAAGCATCAAAGGACACTTGAGGTCTAGCTGAAGAAGCCGACACCAAGGTGGCAGTGGTGGCACTGTGCTGGGGGCTGGACTGGGGCAAGCAGGCGTGTTAGGCAAGGGTGGAAAGCGAAGGGAGGTCTCCTGGGCCAGAGATGATTTGGCTAAAATTAGGAGTACCACATCAGTTTAGGCAGGCAGAAGAGAGGAGGGCAACATTCTGTGCTGCAATAGGAAATGTAATCACAGTGTTTTTTAAAATGAGCTAAGTAATTCGTCAATGAGTATTTTAACCTTATGAAAGTGGATGCCCCCCCTTTTTTCAGGGGTAGAAAGGAAGTTCTTTGTGATGGTTGAACTGCTAGTTTTGTTACTGGGAGATATCTGATCCGAGAATATCTCACTCAGTAAGAGGAAATTCTGCCATTGTCTTTCTTCCTCTTTTTCTGATAGGATCTCACTGTGTAGTTCTGGCTGGCCTGGAACTGGCTATGTACACCAGGCTGGTTGTGAATGCACAGACTTTGTCTTCCAAGTGCTAGGATCAAAGGTATACACCACCACACCTAGCTCTCTATTTTCTTTTCTTTTTTAGATTTTTAATTTTATTTTTGTTGCGTCTGAAGGCAGGAGACGTGATGAAGAGCACCGCACAGGGAGCAGTGCCTGTGTGGAAACATTATGTATAGCTGGAAGGCCTTAGTGTGTTACATTAGGAAGCCCTCATGCCGCAACACTGACGACATGGCCATTCATTCCTATCTTCCATGTCAGACCGTTGTAATTGGTTGCACCCCCAGGCTTCAGTGCAAACAAACTGCATTTTCTAAGTAATTAAACAGTAATTTCATATTGCTGTATTATTTTAATTTTATAGGCTGCTATAACAACTAAAACAAATCTGAGTTAAAAATATGTCTTGATGGCCATCAAAATGATTTGGTAGGTAACAGCACTTGCTGGGAAAGCCTGAGTTGGATCTCTGGAACTCAGAGAAAGGTAGGAAGGGAACTTGTACTTCACAGCACTGTCCTGTGGCTTCAGCATACATCCTATCACGTGTGAGTGCCCAATCAATAAAAACGTTTTAAAGTTTTATATATCTTTAGCAAGTAATGTCAGTTATACTGTACTCTGGATATTTATTATTTATAAGTAAACAATACATTTGGTGATCCTTTAAGTCCTTTTAAGGATGAATAATGCCAAATTGAGCTAATTATACAAAATTTGATTAAAAAATACCATTTTATAAGATTTCAAAAATTATAGTTATTCATTCAGTTTATGTGTGTATGCATGCTCATGCCATGGTGCATGTGGAATACTCCTTTACACTGTGTGAATATATGTCGCTGTGATTGGTTTAATAAGGATGCTGACTGGCCATAGCTGGACAGAATAAAGTTAGGTGGGAGAGTTAGACTAAGGACTCTGGGAAGAAGAAGGGTGTAATGAAAGGAGTCACCAGTGAGACATGGAGAGGAAACAGGAGGTGCAAGATAAAAGAGAGGTAACACCACGTGGCAGAATGTAGATGAATAGAAATGGGTTAATTTAATTTGTAAGAGCAGTTAGTAATAAACCTGAGCTATTGACCAAGCATTTATAATTCCTATTAAGTCTCCATGTTGGTTATTTGGGAACTTGTGGGGTAGGGGGAATGTCCACCGACAAGTGCACATGTGTGGAGGTCAGAAGACATCTGGGACTTGGTCCACTCCTTTCACCACAGGGGTCCTTTGGATGGAACTCAGGTCCTCAGACTTGGCAACAAGCACTCTTCCTGTTGATCTATCTTTCTGGCCCACAGAATTTAATTTTTAAATGTTGGTCTAAGTTTTCAACTGGGAAATGGTTCAAATGACCTAAGACAGGTCATCAACAAGATGAGCGATGGTGGGTTCTGACACAATTTGGACACAAAACACTCAGCTGTGCAATTAACGTCTTGAACTACAAATCCTTTGCTGCTGTCTCTGTTTATATACTGGCCCTGAGAAACATTAGTTCTCTTTCCTGGATCTAGCTGCCACCAAAATTTGGATGACTGCAAAAAATACACTCCATAATCTGTGCCTGATCATTAAGCCTGCAATTCCACTTATCTCCAGATGGGGTCTCCCCAATGTCCTAGAAACATTCAGACTTGGCAAAAGCTTACAATACATACTGTGCCTGGGTAAAGTCTTGGTGCTGCTTGGTAATTGGGGCTGGAGTTGAGGAATGTGTGAGTGTTTCCTTCTCACTTCAGCTGCTGAACTTGAGCTCCGTAGTTTCTACCTCTATCTAGCCCAGGCTGGCCTTGGACCTGAGACCCTCTTGCTTCACCTCCGGAGTGGTGTGGTTTATAGGTGTGTGTCACCATGACTAGGTAGAGTTTCTATTTCTTCACAGTCCCTATGCATCATCTAAGCTGGCAGACACATGATTTGCTTCTGACTCTCACCCAAACCTGGATCCTATTAATTTATTTTGTTCATGCAGTCACAGAACCAATTAATTCCTTTGCTGTAGTTCTCCAAGTGTAATTACGATCACTCTGGGGATCAAGTTAATGTACAGGAATTTGAAATAGTCACCTTAGGTTTTCATCCATAAGATTTTCTTAAGCCTTTGGCAGTTGCTTCCACTTATCTGATTTTGAAAGTTATAGATCACTTAACAAGAGGATGTAGTAAGTGAATATTAATGACGAAGTCAGAAAAACTCAAATGCATTTGCTGCAACAGCTTTGTTATAGAGCTATGCATATAACTGGGATTTGAAAAGTATTATTTTATACATTGGTCTTTTGCCTTTATGTATGTCTGTGCACCAAAGTGGTACCTACAGAGGCAAGAAGAGGATGTCGAATCCCCTGGAACTGGAATTACAGATGGTTGTGAACCACGATGTGGATGCTAGGAATAGAACCTGGGTCATTTGGAAGAGCAGCCAGTACTCTTAACTACTGAACCATCTTTCCAGCCCCCAAACTGGATTTAAGAAAAGTGTTTTTTTAAATTTTTTTTAGGAAAAATATTTTTAACGTTCCGTTTTCTGTCAGGCAGACTCACTTCTAGTTTCATTATGCCTCTGTTAGGATTCGGGACACTGAGGTTTCAATGGCACCTGTTAGCAAGAAAAGCCTTTGCCTTCTTTTCCCCTTCTCCAAGGTTTTTGCATTGCTTCCTAATGTTGTGGAGTAATCTTTTGGTACGCTGTGAAGATGTGTCACTTGGATTGGTTTAGTAAAAAGCTGAATGGCGAATAGCTAGGCAGAATTTTTGGGGCAGAGAGAACACTGGGAAGAAGGCAGAGATGCCAAGAGATGGAGAACAAGCAAGATATGCAGGAGGAGAGGTAACAGCCATGAGTCACTTGGCAGCACATAGATTAATAGAAATGGATTCACCTCCATTATAAGAGCTGGTTAGAAACAAGCCTAACCTACTGCCCAAGCTGTCAGAATTAACAAGTTTGCGTGTTGTGATTTGGGAACTGGCTGGTGGGATGGAGAAAGACTTGTTACATTCTAATCCCCTCAAGAACTTGCTTTCTCCTTCCATCTCTGTGGCCATTTATAATGTAATACTGGAGCAAGTATGGTAACGTCTGTTCACACATATATCTTTACCTTCTCCTTTTCATGTTTCCTACTCATCTTATTCAGCAAAGACATTTGATTGCCTAATGTTCTAATTTGCCTTTTGTTCCAGTGATCAACACCATGTGCAAAAACAAATTAAGGGAGGAAAGGGTTTATTTGGCTTATTCTTTGCCATCACAGTACATCATTGAAGAAGTCATGGCTGGGACTCACTTACAGCTCAGAAAGCACGGCAAAAACCATGAAGGAATGGTGCTCATAGGCTCATGTTCAGTGGTTTTTTTATACTGACCAGGACGACCAGCCTAAGGATGGTACTGCCCACAGTGGGCTGCAGCTTCTTATATCAACCATCAATCAAGACAGTCTTTCATGCAAGTGGCCATGTATCTGCCTTTGTGATTCAGACAGTTCTTCAACTGAGGTTCCCTCTATTGACATGGGGTGTTTCAAGCTGAGGCACTTATACCATGTGTAAGACTCTAATGTGCAAAATGGGGATTTAGAAGAGACCAACACAAATAATCTCATCTATCTTGTAACTTAGAAGCAAAATGCATAGATTCTGTTAACTACAGAGGGAAAAACAAAACAAAAGTGAAGGAAGCGAAGGCTGGAGGTGAGCGAGAGTGGCACGGGAACAAGACTGGAGGTAGTCATTGGACACCAGAGGGTCAGTGTTGCTAGGCAAAGGAAAGACAGGTACAACCCAAAGGTCACCCCCACAGCTTCCAGTCCTACAGTTGAGAGCTTGGCCACACTTGATGATACTGCAGTATTTGGGTGCGGTAGCCCAGCGGCAATTGCAAAATCCCGCTGAGGACGGAAGAGCAATAGCCTGCCATTCAATAATTTCTTGCTGTTTATTTTAACAACTCGTTTGGCACCAACAATCACGAACCTCTTCATGAAAAGTTCCGCCCTAGTCTCTTACACACCAAAGAATGGCAGGATTCTTGTTCAGAAGCCAAAGATAGGCAAAAGAACTGCTCTGCTCACGTCCCAGCTTTATCTTGTGATCTCAGGTCCCTCCCCCACGTGAACATCTCTTCATCAAGCTGAACTTTAATCACTCAAGTACGATCCATCTAAATACTTCTGGTACGTGCTCACATAGATACCCATCACAGAGACTGTTTTAAAGCTGGCCTGGGATCCTTCCCAATCAGTTGTTCCACATGTGCCCAAACCCATTCCGACTGGAGGCTCTGTTATAACCGGTACCTATTTTTATATGCTCATGTCCAGTATAGACAAGCCATTCATACACCTCATCGCTGATGCAGAGGGTGTCATGCTTGATGCAAAGGTCAGCAATGACTTGCAGCTCCTCTCTGGTATACACCTGCACATATTAAAGGAAAGGGCACAGCTGTTATTCTACACGTGAGAAAAGGGCGCCTCCCAGCCTGTGTAAGCAAAGAGGCTCACTTACCTTGCCAATGGGGTTATGTGGAGTATTCAATATAATGGCTTTAGTTTTAGAACTAAATTTACTTTCCAGTTCTTGAGGATTGAATGTCCAGTCAGAACTAGACCACTTCGGCCCATCAGTAGGTTTCTAAGAATGAAGAATAAAGATGTGATTTGAACCAATTAAGATGTGATTTGAACAAATTAATTCATGTTCACTGTCTCACAAACAGCCTCGTAAAGAAAAAAGAAGATTAAAGACAGACCTGACGAAGGTAACTGAATAAATGACTAACAAAGAACACAAACACAAATAATTAGGCCCTCATTCAACCACGGGAACCCAGAGGACCCGAGTCTTTTGTACACGCCTGCTAAAGGAAACAGTGAACCCTGGCAGAACAACAGCTGTTGTTCCTTCCCAGGAGCCGCAGTATCTACGGGCAGCGTGTGACACCGTAAGGCTGACAGAGGAGCCTGCGAGTCACCTTAGCTACTGTGTTCATTATTTTCAAAGGGCTTATCTATGCCTTCAACGACAAAGTCACTGGCAATTCAAAACATTCTTCAACCGGTGGGTGGGCCTCTCCCAGGGGACTTACAGATCTCAGGGGGATGAACACAGGCGTTGCTCCGGCCATTCTCACCATGGGCTCGTAACAGTCATAAAAAGGCACTATTATGATCACCTGAGATAAAAGCAGACAAGAACACAGGGCATCAGCCAGCAATTCACCTCATGATAGGGCGCCTCTTACACGGGAGGCGCTGTGCTAAGAGATGCAGCAATGGAAAAGACAGGCCTGGTCCTCATGGAGTGAATGTACAAAAGACCCTGGATATAAAGGCATCCTGGGAGTCAATGCTGGAGTTCTTGGGCTCTCAGGAAATCCTTGGATAGACTTAAAGTGGGGACATTCAAAATTGTCAATTATTATAGGTGCACACCCAGATTTATCTGGGGCCTGGACTGCTCACCATATTCTCAAAGGGATGCTCTAAGCAAAACCAGTAAGGATGTTTTTGTATTTCAAGTTAGAAAACACAACGTAGGAGGAACTTGATATACCAGACAGTGACAGGAACCAACATTGCAGTCGTTTCTAGAATGAAGTGCTAATTTAAGACAGTATCTTGAGAGTAAGCATGTGAGTAAATCAGGGGACAGAGTGGATGCTTTTGTCTGATGTGATGCCCGCAGCCCCTTTGCCCAGGTATGTGGTACCTCGCATCCTTTCCCCTCGAGTCTTTGGATCCGACTTCTCACCTCTCAAACTCTTCTCCAACCACCCCTGCTGCAGTTTCAGGTTGAGTAGCTAGTCTGGTCTGCTGCCATCACACTCCAGGCTGCAGACCTAATCTAGGACCTTTCTGCCTTTTTCTTTTATCTCTGTGGTGGTTTGGGTGAGAATGGCTTCACAGGCTCATGTGTTTGAATGCTTGGTCCCCAGTTTATGGAACTGTTTGGAAAGGATTAGGAGGTGTGGCCTTATTGGAGGAGGTGTGTCAGTAGGGCTTCAAAAGCCCACTCCATTCCACTCAGCTCTCTCTCTACCTCACAACTGTCATTTCAACATGAACGCTCTCATCTACTGCTCCAGCATCATGACTGTCTGCCTACCTGCTGTCATGCTCTCCTCCATGATGGTCATGGTCTCTTCTCACTCTCTGAAACCAAGCAGGCTCATAATCAATTTTGGAAATTGCCTTGGTTATGGTATTTTGTCACAGAAATAGAAAAGTAATTAAGACACTCTCCTCCCTGCCTGCCTTTCTTTCACTGAAATGAGCCCTTATCTAGCCGTAATGGATCTCCAAATCACTTTGGAGCTGAGATGAGCCCTGATCTCCTGGCTTAATCTCCCAAGTTCTGAGACTGCAGGCACATGTCACCACACTTACCTAGCTTTTTGCTTTTATACAGTTTCACTTACATTTGTTTATTTGTTGTATATATGCCCTTGTGTGCAACATGGGGTACGTGTGGGAGTCAAGGGACAACTTGCCAATGTTGGTTCTCTTATTCCATCATGTGGGTTCTGGAGATCAAATTCAGGCTTTGCAGAAAATGGATTTACCAAGGGAGTCCCCTTGCCAGGCCAGGGAGCCACTTCACCAGCCCACTTTTATATCTTTTTAGAACCTAGCTTGATTTCATGAAAATGCCATACAATTTTAATTTTTAATGTCTACATGAGAGTTCACTGAATTTAAAAATTATTTTCTTACCTTTTGCATGTATAAATAACAGTGTTATATTTGTGTATATAGTTCTCCATTTTTAAGTGGTCTCCATTTTTAACATGATTGTTACCTCTAGATGAAAGAATATAAGCATTTTTACAAACACACACACAGTCTAATGTTTTTATTGAATCTTTTTATTGAATTGTATGTGGGCGCGTGCGTGTGTGTGTGCGTGTGCGTGTGTGTGTGTGTGTGTGGCTACATGCCAGCCATATACAAAGTTAGGTCAGCATGGGCTAGAGGAGACCCTGTCTCAAAAACAAACAAGCAAACTAACAAACAAACAAACAAGCAAACTAACTACGCTACAAAGTGAACAAATCCCACAGACATAATAATGAATGAAAAGAAAAAACAAAACTCAAGAGCCTGTACATGATTCCAACTGCTCTCCAGCAGAAGAGCCACGAGAGTGACTGAGATGCAGATTACAGGACACTGGTTAACTCTCGGAGCACAGACACAGGCAAGGGCTCGACGTCTCTGGACGCTGGAAAGGTGTAAATCTCTATGTGCGCTACAGTCACATGGCAATTTATCCCCCTCTACATTCAAGGCTTGTTAGCTTTACTGTACCATCATTAGACTTCAAAATGGATTGAAAGTGAAAGAAAAAGGAACACAGTGAGGAGAAGGTTCCAATGCAGGACAGAAACACTGATGTGGATGGATACAGTGTTCACACACTTACTTCATCTCCAGGGTCAACCAATCCTTGAATGGCGTTAAAGAGAGACCCATATCCTCCCACTGTCACAAGGATCTCTTCATTTGGATCAATTGGATTGTGATAAATTTTTTCATATAAGCAGGACAGAGCTTTCACAAGTGCTGGATGACCCTGTTGTAGTAAAGATTAAGATAAAACAAAAACCCACCTTGAAATTGATTATGAAAGCTACTACTTTAAGGCAATCTGACTCTAAAATGTAACCATTTTTAAAACTGAGTTTAATATCTAGCATTATCCCTACATTTGTACTTTTAAACATTTAGTTTCCATGTACAGGCATCTTGCCTACATGTGTGTATGTGCACCACACGAGTGTAGTGGAGGGAGAAAAGGGTGTTGGAGCCCCTTGAACTGAAGTTACAGGCAGGTGTGAGCCACCGTGCGGGTGCTGGGAATCGAACCCAGGTCCTCTGCAAGAGCAAGAAGTGCTCTTAACTATTGAGCCACCCCTCCAACCTCCAAATCTGTACTTCCAAAGTAGCAATAAACTTTAAAAGCCTTTGCACTTTGAGGGTCTCTACAAATGGTTATATAAACTTGCTGCTGATGGAAAGTATCCATAAAAGAGAAGGTTTGGAAACACAAAATTTCAAAGCATTTGTTTCGAATAGAAATGAACTCCCCCCAGTATATTTATAGTAGCACAAAAACTAAGTGAATGTAAAAATCCTGCATTCACTACATCCTGAATCTGCTTCTCTCGATTGCTGGGGAGGTTCTCAATTGCTTGTAGTCCTGCTATGGACTGAAGGAAGGAAAACCACATTGACCAAAGACACACACGCTAGTGTTGCTGATGGCATATGCTCCCGGGAAGCAGAGTACGATCCACTGATGAGAAAAGACTAGTTACCAAGGCCAGCGATTCCTATAAGATGAGAGGATAACGAATGTACAAACTGTGAGCTATGTAGCGATTCTCACACTAAAACTTCCTCTTTCGGGGCTGGGAGTATAGCTTAGAACTAGAGTGCTTGCCTAGCAGGTAAAGGGCCCTGGGTTCAACCCATATTCTGAAATAAGTAACTTTTTATTTAACTAACATGCAATAACTGCACATATTTAAGGGGCAGTGTGATACCTCAACACATGACCGCAGTATATCGATAAAATCCATAATTATTGTTTTCCTCCAGTATTTCTTTGGAACTTTCAAGCTTCTCTCTTCTATTATTGTTCTTCAAATATATAACAGGTTATTGTGGATTATCATCCCTGTTTATGCTGTAGGAGACTATTAGCCCATTTATATTAATCTACATTCTGCCTGCCATGTGTCTCCTGGCTGTTAACTCTCCTCCTGTACTTCCTGCTTGCTCTGTGTCTCCCTGAGCCTCCATTATCTCCTCCTACTTCCTCTCTCTGCCCGGAAGTCCCACCTGGCTACTGGCAGGTGAGCTTTTTATTAAATCAATCACAACAATACACTTCCACAGTGTGCAAACATCCCACAACAATTTATTGTGTGTTGGAGGAGGGTATCCATGCCACGTTGTGTGTGTGGAGGCCAGAGAACTACGGGAGAGTTGGTTCTCTTCCTCCACCATGTGTGTCCAGAGGATCAAACTCAGGCTGTCAGCCTTAACTCATGCCTTCGCCCACGGGGCCAGTTCGCCAGCCCTGCTCACACTGCCCTAATTTACTGAGATGTCAAGGGTGCAGAAGAGATTTTTTTCTCTCCCTCTTCTTCATTTGCTATGCTTGGATTTTTAAATAATAACCATTCTGCCCGCGCTGAAATGATTTCTCATGATTTTATTTCCATTTTCCTGATGACTAGTGACAGTAAACACGTCTCTGTATACTCTACCCACTTCTACTTCTTCTTTTTAGAAATGCAGATTAAAATCTTTTTTGTTATTTAGCTTTTCCACCTCCTTATGCACTTTAGACATTCATCCTGTGTCTGATGAGCACCTTTCTCCCATTCTATAGGTTGTCTCTATTCTGTTATGCTTCTTTGACATACACAAATTGCTTAGTTTCATAAAATCACATTTGTCTATTTTTGCTATTGTTACCTGTGCTTTGGGAGTTTTATAAGAAAATCGGCCTATACCAATACCTTGACCTATTTCCCTTACATTTTCTCCTACAACTTCCATAGTTTCAGGTCTGATATGGGGGCTTTTAGGCTGGTTAGTTAGTGAGTGGGCTGGCTAGTTTTGTGTCAATTTGACACAAGTTTGAGTCATTTGGGAAGAGGTAAACAAAAGTGAGAAAATGCCTGCCCCTCCAGACCGGCTTATGGGCAAGCCTATGGCACAACTTCTTGATTTATAACTGATGTGGGAGGGCCCTGGTCTGTTGGTCTTGGATGCCTTAAGAAAGCAGGCTGGGCAAGCCAAGAGGAGCAAGCTAGTGAGCAGCACTGCTCCATGACCTCTGCCTCAATTCGTGCCTCCAAGTTCCTGCCTTGAGTTCCTTTCCTGGATTCCCTGAATGATAGACTACAAGTTGTAAGATGAAAAAACAAAAACAAAACAAAAAAAAAAAAACCCTTCCCAATTTGCTACTGGCCATGGTATCTTACCATAGCAATAGACATCCCAAAGAAGACAGTGAGACCATGAGAGCCCTGTGACCATCTTGGTCAGGTCAATTTTGCTGATTTCCCCTGTGCTCATATCCCCACAGCAAAGCCCTGGGCGGACTGTGGGGACTTTCATAGTTAGACTCACAATGACAAAATGTAAAGACTTCTTTCTATATCCTGTCCCTCCTCATTTTCCACACTCTCAGGAAAGGAAAAGATACCCAGTCATATGATAACCTCATGGCTCTCAGGCAGGGCAGACAAACATCTAGTTCAAAGTTAATCTAATCTAAAATGTCTGCATACCTGGGCATTTCAGCAGATGATGGATAAGGGGTTAGAGAGGCTAGGGAGGAAGCAAGCATGTAGTCAGAAACAGGGTTCCTTGACATAGCAAAGAGATGTTGAGAGACTAATTTCCTTCCCTTGATGTCCCGCCTCTCATTTCAGAATAGCAGTCAATAAAGGGCCAAGACAGGACTGTAAAAGGGCTGGAAGCTGGGGAGGGCTCATCTCAGAGGTAAGGGTAAGGGGCTCCTGACCTTCCAGGTTGGGGCAGTTGATCCCAGAAAGACAATGTCCTTTAAGGAAGAGGAGTTCACACACACACACACACACACACACACACACACACACACACACACACACCAGCTGGAGGTATCATTGTATGCCCCACATGGCCCCGATAAACTCACAAAGCCCCTCGTATACTGATTCAAGTTATCAGTTAATGCAGCCTTTGATAATTCTTCCTTTACGTATGGAGGAGGGGATATATCTGGAAGGCCTTGTCCAAGATTCACAACAGAAGGATCTGCAGCCAACTTAGTAAATTCAACCCTGATTAGAAAAGAGAAAACAACTAAAATTATAAAATAATATAATTGCAGAGTTAGCTTCAATTTCATATGTTCTCAGTCAGGTAGTGGTGACCCATGCCTTTAATCCTAGCACCTGGGAGGTAGAAGCAGGTGGATCTCTGAGTTCAAGGCCAGCCTGGTCTGCAGAATGAGTTCCAGGACAATCAGGGGTACCCAGAGAAACTCTGTTTTGAAAAACAAAACAAAACTCATATGTTCTCATTATAATCTGCACCCCACCCCCAAATAGGACTTAGTCTTAGAGATGAGATACAATGAGTTCCCAACAAAAATGTTACTATCCACAAGATAAAATTATCTAGTAAATGATGGTTGAACTAATGATTCTATCTTCCCTAGAGACCTCAGTTTAGTAACATTCATATTTGTGTCGTATATGTATGTAGAAATATTAATGCCTGTAAATGCCTGTAATCCCAGCACTGGGGAGGCTGAGGCAAGAGGATCAAGAGTTTGAGGCCAGCCTGGGCTACATGCATAACTAAACCCCACTTCAAGAAAAAAGAAAAGGAAATGGTTTGTTGTAAATTTCATGAAAGCCTCAGTCAAACATAGTTTTAGATATTCTCTGCCATATATCCAATGCTAGCCCAGAGGCTAGCTTCCTCCCACTTAACTGTAATCAATGAGAGGAATTAAATGAATGGCTTCATTATTGGAATCCAATGTAAGGGACCACAGGCAGGAAACTTCCCCACACGACCACTTGTCTAGGTCACTCACCACACATTGCTGTCCAGGCCTTCGATTCGTTTGGCATTTTTGAATTTCAAAGCCATTTTCTGAAAGACACACATTGAAAGTTTCTTTGAATCATTTAGTCAGCATTCAAAGAGGTCACTAAACAGTGGGGCACTCTTGCTTTTTTCTTCCATTACCTTGCAAATGGTACCATGGAAAGAAGTTGTAGAACCCAGTGCAAAGTTCTACAGAATTGTTACCTCTTCCCTACTGTTTTAAAGAATGCTTTTCCTTGTGTCCCTCAAATCTTTACAATCACACCCAAGGACAAAAATATCACCCCAGCATGAAGGGTTAATTTAAAAGCTTGAAACACTTTCAAGAGCTTAATAACAATATCAAAGGAAGAGGATTCAAGAGAATCTTGAGCCATGCTATGAAGGTTGCATAGCATATTAGGCATCCAGATTTCTATAAGGAAGTTCTTCCTATGGCCTATAGGAAGAACTCAATAAATGGTTCTAAACTCCTTAATAATGGGGTATAGATAATGCTAGTTAACATCAGGAAGCAATGCTTATGTAGCAGGCACCTTTCTGTGTGCTTTACATGAATCCCATTTGTGAATGAGCAAAGTTGAGAGGGACCATGAAGATGGAAATGAAAAAAACTTTTCACATCTGCCAACGTTTATAAAACATCTCAAACAGGCTCAGCCCAATATTTGAGCTCATAACCTTTCTCTACAGCCCATACTTAAACTATCTTCTACAGTCTTTCACATACTAAGACCTTCTAAAAAACATGACTGGAAGTTGCTGCTTAAAATACAGTCATCATTCCCATTAGGTCTACTAATACCAAGCAAGCAAGCAAGCTAAGAATGTAGTAGGAAAATATTAGAAGTTATAATTATCATACCATACACAATATTTCAGTTCTTTCAATTCAAAAGCTACATTTTGACTATTTCTCAAAAGTATTGAATTAGCTTTGAGTTCTTTGTTAGCAGGCTGGTGGAAATAAGAAAAATGATCGACAGCATTTCTGCAAGGAATTTTATAATAGAATATTAAAGCAATTTTAATTCAATCTGGGAGAGAGATAATGATAACAGTTATTAAATAAAACATTGTTCTCATTCTATTTCCAATAACGATACCAAAGAAATAGCTTTCTCAGCCTCCTATTTGCAATCTTTGAAACTCCTGTGAAGGGAATCACAAGCAAATTCTCTGGAGGTTAATACACTTCTAGAACAGCATTTTGATGAAGTCTCACCTGAACATTGTGCTACTCTAGAGAATACAATTATAAAACTCAAAAGACCCAGAAGGAGCGAAAAAGATATTTTTAACAAAGGCCTTTCTCTCTTTCTCAAACAGTGTTGAGAACTTAATGATTCACTCAGCATGTAACCAGAAATGCAAATCTGTAAAAAGGCCAGGGCGGTGGTGGCTCACGCCTTTAATCCCAGCACTTTAATCCCAGGGAGGCAGAGCCAGGTGGATCTCTGTGAGTTCGAGGCCAGTCTGGTCTACAGAGTGAGATCCAGAACAGGCACCAAAACTACACAGAGAAACCCTGTCTTGGCAAAACAAGCCAGGGTTGGGGACATGGCTTAGTGGGTAAATCGCTTTCTGTGTACGCATGAGGACCTGAGCTCAGATCCTAAGCACCCATGCAGAAGCCAGGTTCTCACATGGCTTGTTTTTTTGTTTTGTTTTTGTTTTTTTGAGACAGGGTTTCTCTGAGTAACAGTTCTGGCTGTCCTGGAACACACTCTGTAGTCCATGCTGGCCTTGAACTCACAGAGATCCGCTTGCCTCTGTCGGGTGCGCCACCACTGCCCGGCTCTCACATGGCTGGGAGATAGGATGATTCCAGGGGCTCCCGGTCCAGCCAGTACATCTCAGTGACCTCCAGACCAAATTGATGACAGACCCTACCTCAAAAATAAGGTAGGGAGCAAGTGAGAAGGACATTCGATGCTGGCCTTGGGCCTCCAAATTCCCATCTGTGGGCATGTGCACCCCCCTACATGCACTGTTCTCCCACAAACCGGAAAAAAAAAGTCATTATGGAGTACAATAGACAAGGTAGACATGAAGTACAACGATTTCAAATTTAGTTGAGATAAAAAGGCACATTTTGACTTCACTTTATTCCAAGTCTCTATCTAAGCCACTTCCCTCTACTGCCACGCCTGCCCTCCATCACGGTTCAACCCCTCACCCCCCCCCTCCCCCCCCCCGGCTTTCTCAAAGAATGTGCCTAACTCTTAGTCTTTTCACACCAGCGTCTCTCAGCTTCACTATACGCAGTAGTTCTCAGCCTTCCTTTAAAACAGCTGCAGTGAGTCTCTCCTTACCTTAGGCGTGCCCCACTAGCTCTTACAACTTAAATTCACCCATTTCTCTTAATCTACGTCTTACCACGCGGTTTTTACCTTTCTTTCATTCTGTATGTTCGACTCCCTTTGCTTCTCGTTGGCGTCTCCCTGCCTCGATATCTCCACCACTTCCTCTTTGTGCCCGGAAGTCCGGCCTATACCTCCTGCCTAGCTATTGGCTGTTCAGCTTTTTATTACACCAATCATAGCAATACATTTTCATTCAGTGTACAAACACCCCACAACAAACAGTTCCTCATATTGTGGTGATCCCCAACCATAAAAGTATTTCATTGCTACCTCATAACTATAATTTTGCTACTATTATGTATCATAGTGCAAATACATCTGATATGTGACCCCCAAAAGGATCATGACCCACAGGTTGAGAACCACTGCTCTAGAGACTTCCCCAAGCATATCCCCTCCCCTGAATTCCGTGTTTGAAATAAAATTGTGCCAGGTAGCACTGAGTTTTGAATAACCATAAACAAAGCAGCAAGCATCCGCTTCCCTTTCATTTATTCGTTCATTCATTTGTATGCCCTGTGTCAGCCAAGTTTCTCCAGAGGAACAGAGCCAATAGGAAGCATGAGAGGTTTATCTCAAGGACTTGGCCAAGCAGCTGTGGTGCTGGTCAGTCTGCAATATGCAGAGCAGACAACAGGAGAGAACGCGCATTACAGCTGGAATCTGAGGTCAGGACTCTCACTTCTGGGTGGGGCGCTCGCTCGCTCGCTAGGTTTCTTTCTCCTAAGACATCAACTGAACAAATCTCACCCATATTATGGCGACTACTCAGATTTCCTCAAAGCACACTACTCTAAATTTTAATTTCATCTCAAAACTACCTTCACAGCATAACTACACTGGCGTTTGCACAGGTATTTAGGCGCTTAGGTCTCTGTCAGCCAAACTGACATCAGCAGAGTCCCATGTGCAGCACATGGCGAGCTTTCAACAAATATATGATGAATGGAAAAAATTCGTTCCCATTATAGTGCCCCGAAGTTAAGTTAGGTACTTATGTCTGTCAGCTTAAGTTAATTTATGATGCAATTATAAAGGACCCCAAATTTTTGGACTTGAGACAGGGCCTCTTGTTTGCCTCTGTGTATACCTCACTAGCTCCTGAGTTTCTGGGAGATTCTCGGTCTCCCATTTACCCATAGGAGTTTCTGAGATCCTCAGTCTCCCACCTACCAATAGGAGGGCCGGGATGCATACATGCTGTCTTGTTCAGCTCTGTGTAAGTGTTGGGGACTGGAATGCAGGTCCTCACACTTTTGCAACAAGCGCCTTGACCTCTGAACAATCTCCCGAGCCCTAATATATTTAATAGCATAAAACAGTGAAGGCTTTCCTTTTGTTTATATGATATATACACTAATATACACTGAGACTCGGCTGCTGCTCTGCTCCAGTCACTCATCCTGAGACACACAGTCAGTCTCCGCCAAAAACACAACCTGCTTTAAAACAAAAGACCATAGAGGTTCCTGTTTGGATATACACATTTTGCTTCTATTTATACCTTTTTGGTCAAAGTGATTTCATGGTTGATCCATGGAGCCAGGTTATATAGCGGACCAGCGGAGGAAGCAGTAAGTACTTGTAGCTAGATAAAGCTGCAGGGAGTCCAGCTCCAGTGGGGTTCAGGTCCCAAAAAGGAGGTGTGGAGTCGGTGAGGGAAAAGTGGAGACTGGCACGGTCTGAGGGTGAATAGGGAAGGCTGCCACTTTATTGAAAAGAAAAAAAAAAAGGCTACACTGTTTACACTCTATAATTGCACACAGGATTAAATGGGAGAAAGGGGCATGTGAGCTGGGTGGGGCTTGTGATCGGAGATTGTGGAAGCTGGCATTGACCTTCCCAAGTTAATAGGCACCAGTCATATACTAATGGAAGGGCCACAAGTTCCTCTTGCCAGAGATAAGGACAACTTCCTTTTTAGCAAGCAGGAACTTTCTTCAAACCCCTGAGGAAATGGGGGCTTTCGTCTAAATGCCTGACTTTGGGAAAAGGACTTTCTCTATTATGGAATATTGAAGTTTTTAATTTGGCTTAGTTTATCTAAAAACTAAAGCTTACAGTGAGCAAGAAGGAGGCTATACAAATATTACTGTGAAACTGAGTAGACCTTAGGAATCTATAAATCTTGATTGTCAACTATACCTACCTTAGTTTTCAAGCATATGTTACTCATCTAAATTTTGTAGCACTTTGGTGGTAACTTGTATGGGAGTAGGCAGAGTTATCATGCTATATGGTTCCATGGTGGCGGAGGATTTTTTCCAAAGAATTATTTTGTTTAAAGAGATTGTCATTTTATATATTTTCATATTTCAAAGCCCAAACAAAATTTCCCAAAGGAAAAAGCCTAAGGGAACTCCCATAACACGTAATGAGAATCATTAAAAATGAGAGTAAAAGGATGCTGGAGAACTGTGATCTGCAAAGCTGAAATGCTGGAACTCTGTCAAGCAGCAATGGTTGCCATACAGTCAAGATCAGACAGGCCATTGTTACAGGTTGAGTTTGGTCCCCCTCAGTTACATAGGTTGAGGCCCTAACTCTCAGTACTTAGAATGTACAGAATGTAATAGGAATAGGGCCATTGGGGACTCAGTGGCTTTGGAGCTAAGGGCACTGGCTGCTCTTCCAAAGGACGCAGGTTTGATTCCAAGCACCCACTTGGTGAGTCAAAAC